CGCTCACAGCGCTCACTGGCTGAGCGCGGTGCGGCCGGTCTCAAAAAGGACCAAAAAAAAAGAAAAAGTATACAGTTTGGCCATAAAACCTTGTGAAATTAGTTGATACTTGCGGCAGAGAATCACAGCTGTGAGACCTGGCTCTGGGGGCGTCCAGGGAGCTGGAGGGGACCGAGGGGCAGAGCGATTCTGTGTTATAAGATCACACACGCACAAGCCTCTAGGTATGTGCGCCCTCAGCACCAGAGTTTTAAAAAATGTAATAATCAAGAAGCCTATTGAGGCCTCCACAGATTGCTGCTGACAAGCAGAGGTGGCGAGTGGAACTGGTCGCATGCTGGCCTCCTGTGACATAATGGAGAGAAGCGAGGCGGCCGGTGTTGGTGCTGGGAGGAGGGAGCAGACCCGGGGTGTGGTGCAGTGGGTTGACCAGGCCGACAGGGAAAGGGGGTGGGGGCTGTGCCCGGAGGCTCCCAGGTGCCATGCTGCAGGATTTGGCCAAATCAGATAGATACGGAGGAACTACGATGGGGTCTTTGTGCATGACTTTATGACGTGACTTTACAAACAGTGATCTGGGTGGGATCCGAAGGGAAGAAAGATCAGGGAAATGGAAGCCAGTTCAGAAGGCTTCCTCAGGGATGAAGGCCAGCCATAGAGGGATGGTAGCTGGCATGGAGTAGAGGTGGGCCTGGCCTCTAGGGAGCTGGTGCAGTCCCTCCCAGCACAGCCCTGAGGCCCTCCATTTGGTCTTTGGCTGCATCGTAAGGGGTTTACTTGAATTAGATGATCCGGCCTTAAAGGCTGCCAATTGTGGACCCTCGCTTCTCGTTTATTTTAAGTGGGGATAGTAATCCAGGCCCTAGTGATACCAGCGAACTTTAGTGCCTTCTGGTAGTTCATTTTTTAATGTGCAAAATCTGATCATTTGCATTAAGCAAAAATTATCGTTTTTGTGTGACAGAACCACCAGGTGGAGCACATTGTATTTGGGAAAGCCAGGATTCCCCTTCTCCCTGACTAGGAATAAGTTAAAGCAGCTAAACTCTTGGCTTCATACATAATGTGAGCCATGCATTAGCATGGGAAGCTGCTGGCCGTGGAGGATGGACAGAGAATGTCTCGTGATCAGGCTGGGCCCTGTGACCCAGTTGAGACAGGTGACCATGTGTGGGTTCTGCTTCCCCGGCAGGTGGTGGACGTGGCCAAGCTCATGAAGGCGTACATCAGCATGATCGTGAAGAAGCGCTACAGCACCACGCGCTCCCTGAGCAGCCAGGGCAGCTCCAGGTGAAGGCTG